ACTCAATAAAATCAACCATGTAAAACCTACTACAGCCAATGGTGTTGTTCATTTAACTTGAAATGAAAGGTTTTAGTTTAACTTTAATTAATGGTTTTCAGTTAACTTGAATTGTTTAAGGTATTTTCATTTAAGGCTTCTTGTTTAGTCCATGTCTTTATCACATTGGACAAAATCCATTTGGCCAGGTTAAAACAACTATATGTGTAATAATTTTATCTCATGATGACTGACTCGAAGACAACAGGAACGACATACACTATAACATCCATTTACTGGGAGGAAGAAAAATTTCACAAAAGGTGTCATATCTTTCTACAGTAGCAACATTTTTTTTTTAGATTAATGTGTTTAGAGTTGCACATTTAATTATTCCTCATTATTTTGTTTAAAAAGTGCCGTTATGTCCCCACACATGCAAGGCATGCGTCCACCAGGACGCTATGAGGGTGGGGGCCCAAAACACCACTTTGAAATTCATTTTAATAGTTTATTTCTGTTTTCATACATGAACACGTCCATCCATCCATCCATCCATCCATCCATCCATCTTCTTGTGCTTATCCAGGGCCGGGTCGCGGGGGCAGCAGTCTAAGCAGAGATGCCCAGATTTCCTTCTCCCTAGACACTTCCTCCAGCTCTTCCAGGGGGACACCGAGGGGTTCCCAGGCCAGCCGGGAGACATAGTCTCTCCAGCATGTTCTAGGTCTTCCCCGGGGTCTCCGCCCAGTGGAACGTGCCCGGTACACCTCCCCGGGGAGGCGTCCAGGAGGCATCCGGATTAGATGCCCGAGCCACCTCAGCTGACCCCTCTCGATGTGGAGGAGCAGCGGCTCTACTCTGAGCTCCTCCTGAGTGACCGAGCTTCTCACCCTATCTCTAAGGGATCGCCCAGCCACCCTGCGGAGAAAGCTCATTTCGGCTGCCTGTATCCGGGATCTTGTCCTTTCGGTCATGACCCAAAGCTCATGACCATAGGGGAGAGTAGTAACGTAGATCGACCGCTAAATTGAGAGCTTTGCCTTACGGCTCAGCTCCTTCTTCACCACAACAGACTAGTACACCGACTGCATTACTGCAGAAGCTGCACCGATCCGTCTGTCAATCTCCCGTTCCATCCTTCCCTCACTCGTTAACAAAACCCCAAGATACTTAAACTCCTCCACTTGAGGAAGGATCCCTCCACCAACCTGAAGTGAGCAAGCCACCCTTTTCCGACTGAGGACCATGGCCTTGGTTTTGGAGGTGCTGATTCTCAACCCAGCCGCTTCACACTCGGCTGCAAACCCGTCCCAGTGCATGCTGAATTTTCCTGGTGTGAAGGGGCCAACATGACAACATCATCCGCAGAGACGGAATCGCGTGGTCCCCAAACCTGACACCCTCCAGCCCCTGGCTGCGCCTAGAAATTCTGTCCTTAAAAATTATGAACAGAACCAGCGAACAAATGGCAGCCCTGCCGGAGTCCAACATGCACTCATGGGAAGAAGTCTGACTTACTACCGGCAATGCGAACCAAGCTCCTGCTTCGGTCATACAGGGACCGAACAGCCCTTAGCAAAGGATCCCGGACCCCATATTCCCGGAGCACCCTCCACAGGCCGCCTCGGGGGACACAGTCGAATGGCTTCTCCAAATCCACAAAACACATGTGGACTGGTTGGGTAAACTCCCATGAACCCTCTAGCACCCTGTAACGAACATGTTCTAACCATTAATAGTGAAGTGAAATAAAATTAAAAATGGTATATAGGGAGTGATACGTAAAAGTGAACTCTCCCTTTACTGTACAAAATAAAGCACAAATAAGAATAACATGATGGACGGAAAAATGCTATTTTTTTTATTTTTTAATAATGAGTAGATGAAGCTGTATTTCTAATCATACTGAGCACACACACACACACACACGTTGGTCTACTCATTATCATAATGGTTTTTATACTGAACAAACTGTGTATTCTATTCCCCAAGACGAAACCTAACCATCACAGAAAACTCGGATATGACACCTGAGTGGGGGCTCTGTGGAGTCGAAGCCAGTGAGCATGGCCCACCTTTTAATAGTGGCCAAAAACACATACAAATATTTAATGGTGTCATAGAACTGTGACACTTCTGGAATGTTTTTTCTGCATCATTCAGCACTAGGTTCTGGTTATTTGCTGCACAGTGTACATATGTTGCAAGTGTCTCTTTTTCCCTGATCCTGGCCTGCCCTCACGCATAGACGCCACTCATATTGGCCACTCCGTTGTATTCCTGAACACGACATTTAGAAATATCATGACGTTTTTTAAAATGCTGTCCAGTTCACTTACAGATCTGATCTGAAATCCAAGAAAAGCTTCAGCTACTTTGATATCAATAGCTATGTCCAATGTGTTCCTTACTATGGTGGTGACATATCTGTAAACTTGACCAAGTTGGTATTGCTTGGACAGGACTTGTGTGGTATAAATGGAAAAAAAAAATCTCTATGGTAGACTGAGATAGAGAGAGAAAAGCCTGTCGATCGCCCCCTGGAGGAGGAAGAGAGAGAAAAGCCTGTCGATCGCCCCCTGGAGGAGGAAGAAGTAATGACGAGACTGAGCTGTCCTTTGCACACTGAAAGCAGACAGAAGCCAGAGAGAAAGTGAAATGAAAGACAAATAAATGAAGCAATTGAATTTAAAACAATAAAGCAGGAACAACCATGGGAGCCGAGCCATGAAGTGTATTTGTGAAGATAAAGCAAAAGCTTACAGCACCTGGTATTCCCAAGCGGTCTCCCATCCAAGTACTAACCAGGCCCGACCCTGCTAAGCTTCCGAGATCGGACGAGATCGGGCGTGTTCAGGGTGGTATGGCCGTAAGCGAGAGTCATAATCAATAAAGAGCTATTTAAAGAAGGGACACCGGGGTTCTAGGCCTGAATTCACACATGACCCAGGCTGAAGCTGCAAGACAAACAGAAACCACCAAGTGTTTTCATGCAACCTTGAATATGAATCTGAGAGGACTCGTGTATTTCATTTTTTTTTTTTTCAGACAAATGGCCCTAATCTCTGGCACCCTTCACCCATGCATTTTCAGGGTTCTCAAGTCTCACGCATTGGCCGTGAGACACACTCATTTCGACCGGTTCACACGCTCACACGCCACACTGTGTATTTCTCACGCTGAAAAGGCAATGCCAACCAAGTTGTCCTGGCTGAAAGCTTTCTAACGTTGTATACGAGGCGCAGGCAAACAAAGTGAAGTTTCCTGCCGCCAGCGCGTATCTCCGCCAGATTGCGTTCGTTACTAGGCAACATGCGCGCTGCGTGCACCACTGATCTATACATGACATGTCATTCAGTAGCGCGAACACACGGAAATGGACGGAACATCCTCGGCCACCTTACGTTCGTTACTAGGTAACCAAAAACATCGCGCGAACACATGTGTCGTGATGGAGAAGAAGGTAAGTTGGAAGAAGCTCGTCTAACATTTTTGGGCTAGAACATTTAATATGTAGCCCATCGTACATTATTATTGATGCAGTCAAAAACTCTACAACTACTTTGCAACCAGGCTCAGTTTGGCTATCTTATGTTATCTGAAACTAAGAGAAATGTTAGTGGGTATGGAAAGGAATGAAGATTTACTGATTTTATTTTAAATTATATTATACTGTAATATTAATAGTCTTTCTAGTTACATTAGGGATGTATTACACCGCAGATTGCTCTGGGTAATATTTAATCATTGTCATAATGTTGCATTTGTATTTTTCAAAGATGTCAGGAAAAAAGCAGAAAGATATTTTGTCATTTTGGGCACCAAAGGGTAAGCCCCCTAAAAAGGTTGCCAGATTAGAGGAGGACACAGTGGAAGAGGTGGTGCACTTTAATCTGTCCATTTGTTCTCAATGTCCCACCACACAATAAATCATTCGTCTAGATAGAAGACGCATTCAAAAATCAAAATGCAATTTTTAAAGATTTGTTTGAAACTGTTTGGAGCAATTTGTTATATTTTTGGTTAGCTATATTTGTAATACTTCATTAAAGAGTATTTGATGTGATGAATTGCTCTGTCATTTATTAGATTTACTAGGCCTAATTGTTATAATTTTAATTTGTTCTGGTTAATTATGAACAATGGGTAAAATTGGGGGCGGGGATGGGTGGGGCGGGGCTTCATTATGGCTCCTCCCCTAACCGCGTGTGATCTCACTCCAAGCTTTTGCTCAAACTTGAGAACCCTGCATTTTTGTGGGGTGAATGTGGTCTCCAAATAGCCAGCAGGGTTCACATACACAGTCACACGCATTCATTCTGTGGTTCCATGTGATTAAAACAAGTAATCTTATAATAACAGGAACAGATAAAACTCAATAAAATCAACCGTGTAAAACCAACTACAGCCAATGGTGTTGTTCATTTGACTTGAATGAAAGGTTTTAGTTTAACTTCAAATGATGATTACTTTTCAGTTTGAATTATTTAGGTATCCTACATTTAAGGCTTTTTGTTTAGTTTATGTCTATATCACATTGGACGAAGGTTAAAACAACTATGTGTCATAATTTTATCAGAAAAGACGATATGAACGGCATATAGCCTACACTAACATCCATATTTACTGAGGGGAAGAAAAGGGTGTAGGCCTACCTTTCCACAACATGCAGGCTTCTCTACTGACTTTTCTGCATTCTGAAGCTTAGGGAATATTAGGTAAGTTAGCAGCGAATATGTATATGAAAGGAAATACTATTTCACTAAACAGGGAAAAAGGCTTTCTCCTATCATATTTATAACATAGCATGTGCACACCTGACCTAACCTCATTTGATGGAATAGTTGAGCTTTTCCCTTATTTTTGTAAGAGTAAACACAGCACAGGCTGCACACAAGTATACTGTATGTGTAAATCTAGGCCTACAAAACAACATCGTAAATGAGTGATGACGCCAAAACAAGTTATTACTATTGAGACCTGCAGGCGGCAGTAATGCGCTGCATGTTCAAAACAACGTCAATGACGTCACGAAGAAGAAAATGACGCTGCTTTTATCTGTTATCCTGTCCGTGTGCTTCGAGTCCGTATGAAGTGAACAGTCAATATTTATGTTTTAATCTGTTTGATTTAACTATTGACTTCTCATATTTTCTACTGCAAAAGGGAAGCAACACAAAGGTAATTATATTCTGTGAATTTTAGATGACGAAAAGAAAAACGCTGTGTGATCAACGATTGATTGATTATGTACTTGGACTATATTATTATTATGAACCTTGTTACGTTATTAACCATAGATTGTGAGGCTTACAATATCAAAATCTAGAAAGAATCCTTCCTAGAGTGTTTTTATTTGGCAGTTTATGATTTGCTTGAACCTTGTGTGTTTTTTGTTACTTTGCATTTTTCAATCTATCTTCCCAACAAAGCGTGACATGTACAGATAAAGTACACACATTCGCACACATACAGATAAACAATTTGCTGTCTCCAATGCACATGTCCTTCATGATTTTGAATTGTGGGGTAAAACCGGAGCAACATAAGCCAAAAAGCACCGCACAAAAAGGCCTCCTCCTTAAGTCTTTCTGCAATTGTTCAGATTTATTTAAGTTGTTATGATGGTTAAAGGAGTAGTTCACTTAAAAAAAAAAAAAAAACTTTTTGCTGATAATTTACTCACCCCCATGTCATCCAAGATGTCCATGTCTTTCTTTCTTCAGTCGAAAAGAAATTAAGGTAACGTTATTTGATGAAAATATTCCAGGATTTTCTCCATATAATGGACTTCAATGGGAACCAAACGGTTTAAGGTCCAAATGAGTTTCAGTGCAGCTTTAAAGGGCTTTAAACGACACTAGACGATGAATAAGGGTCTTATCTAGCGAAACGATTGGTCATTTCAAAAATAAATAAAATATTTTTTTTTATAGTTTTATAAGCACAAATGCTCACCTTGCTCTGATCTGTGATGAGCGTTTGTGACTCTCCTGTTCAAACCATAGACTGTAAAAAATATGGACAAAGCGTCTGTGACGTCTGTGTCTGTGACGAGGTTAATTTCTTTTTGACTGAAGAAAGAAAGACGTGGACATCTTGGATGACAAATAATAGGGTAAAAAGTTTTATTTTTAAAAGTCCTTTAATCTAAGATAGAATATTTTCACCAAAGAGGAGTGCAAATTATTTACAAAACCCAGAAGAGTGAAATGGCAAAAATTAGAGTAATATCCAAACACATACACTAACGTTACCTGTTGAAAGTTTGGAGTGTTTTAAGATTTTTAAAATGGTTGAAAGTTTTTATGCTCACTAAGCTTGCATTTTTATTTTATTAACAATACTGTAAATCAGCAATGTTGTAAAATATTGTTATTATTTAAAATAATTTATTCCTGTGATGGTAAAGCTGATTTTTCAGCAGATATTACTCGTCAGAGTCACATGATCCTTCAGAAATCATTCTATGCTGTCTTGGTGCTCAAGAAACATATTCTCAAAGTTAAAAACAGTTGTGCTGCTTAATATTTTTGTGAAAACAACATACAGTACCATTAAATAAAGAAAACACAACACCTACAGTATATTCAACAAGGATCCATTAAATTGATCAAAATGATGATTTCTTTCTTTATAAAAAATTCAGTTCTTTTGAACTTTATCAAAGCATCCTGAAAAAAAAAAGATCACGGGTTCCACAAAAATATTAAGCTGCAAAAACACTGACATTATAATTATAAGAACTGTAATAACTGATTATAGCACCAGTAATAATTAATTAATAATTGAACACCAAATAAGCATATTATAAGCATATTTATGAAGGATCATAAGTCAGCCTCAGTCAGTCATAATGATCCTCCATCATCACTGGAGTAATGGCTGCTAGAAATTCAGCTTTGCATCACATAAATACATTATATTTAAATAGAAAATGGTTGTTTTTTTAAGACATAATAATATTTCACAATATTTCACAAAAAAACAGTGATAAAATCTGTCTTTATTTTCCCCCCTTTGGGTTTTTCTCAGATGGGGGAGGTGGAGTTGTCCTGTCTGGCTTATGCCAAAATGTTCCTACATGCCAGTCAGTTTCCACGCTGCAGTGTGAATGGCCTGCTGTTGTCCTCCAGTCCAGCAGGGGGAGCTTTGTGTATCACAGACTGTGTGCCGCTGCTCCACTCGCACTTGTCTTTGGCTCCAATTACACAGCTCGCTCTTACACAGGTAACTACGTCTTTAATGAATGTTGGCAGTGGAAAACTAGCACAGCGAGAGAAAAGTGGAGATAAGCATGAAGTTCGCAGTGTCAGAAAGTCTGTCAGTCAAGTCTGAAGCGAAACAACGACAGATAGTCTGATTGCATATAAAAAATAAACATTAAATGTCTTGAGAGCAGTGTTGTGCAAGTTACTCTGGAAATTTAATTAAATTTCTGATTACTCCTTTTTAAGTTCTGATTACTTTTTTTAAAAAGTAACAAGTTACATTACTACCCAACCAACCCCCCAGAAAACCTCTCTCGCAACAAACAAAATTAAGCCAGTCTCACTCTCATCTGACTTTCAACTCTAAACTTTTAAAATATTTTCATATTTGGACTGGAATCGACAGTAGAATAAACTCATAACAATGCTTCTATTTCCAGCTACAGAACGTGTCATTTTCTCTCTCCATGCTGACTTTGTTTTCATTGATTTACCCACTGCGCAAGCTCTTACCAGTGAAATTAGGTCTCGGATAGATGACGTCGCGGAAGCTTTTTCTCTTTTTACAATCTAGGTGATAAAACACCGCAGTCTGTTGGCAGAAATATAACACAGCTGTAATGTATAATAAATTGGAACTATATTTGAATTACTATTTTGGAAATTATAACATGCGTTTCATTACTCCGTAACTAAAATAAGTAATCAAATTACAAAGTTACTAATGTCGCTTTTCCACTACAGTACCACCTTGGCTCGGATCGTCTTTGTTTGGTTTTACACTGTGTAAAAGTTGTACCTGTTCCTGCTTTCGGGTACTTTTTTTGTACCACCTCCGGCGAGGTTCTGAGCGAGCTAAGACTAGCTTAGGCGATACTAAAATGTCACGTGAAAACAATGCCAACTGCTGATTGGTCAGAGAGAATCACCATTCACTGCGTCATCATTACAAGCGCCAGATGGAGTATCCAGAATAACCGCGCTATTTTTAAATAGTTTGGCCAGAGATAGTTACTGTCTGCAATGGAAAACGTAACGAAAAGCGAGCTGAGGCGAGCCGAGTCGAGTTGGTAGTGGTAATGGAAAAGCGCCGTAAGTAATGCATTACTGCCCAACACTGCTTGAGAGTGATTTTTTTTTTACACAAGTTAGCATCAGATATAGAATAGGATGAGGCATTTATATATTTTCCTTTTAATGGCAGTTGGCAAACCCACTTGAAGGTGCATACCGTCACCTACTGCACGACACCTGACAGAAAATAAAGGATCAGGCATCAGAGGTCATGAAAGTCCATCCATTGAAAGTCTGTCCTCAATATTTTCAAGCTTGAAGCAATGTAGATTGTTCTCGCATGACAAGCAGGCACGTTTGAGTTTCCATTTACAATTTTTGATGTGTTAAGTACTCGATGTAATATAAGTACTCGAAAGTGAAAGTGGACAAAAGTCACGGATTAAAACAACAGGTGTAAATGGGTATGCGTCTCCCTCATCTACTTGTGATCCAAAATGCATCTTAATATCAGGTGTAAACAGGGTGAAGAAAATCAATCAAATCATTTAGTCAGTGGATGAAACCTTTTTGGAAGCATCAAATTTGGGACAGATTTTTTTTTAATGTGTTAAAGGTTAACTAGAAATTTCTGTATAATGATGATTTTGTATATATATTTTTGGTTATCTCAATCAATGTTTAAGTCAGGGGTTGGCAAGTTTGGTCCTAGAGAGCCACTGTCCTGCAGAATTTATTTACAACCCTAATCAAACACACCTGAACAAGCTAATCAATGTCTTCAGGAACATAGATATCCATAATAAAGGCTAGATGTCTTATGGCGGAGTTTCTATCGCCATCACCGTCGGCCATCTTGTCACAGGCAAGCTTCCTGGCGGGCTCTGTGGTACCTTATGTAAGATGAGTGATCTGCACGAAAACAAACTACTCATCTCGTTGAAATCTTGACTGATTTACAAATGGTTTGGTTTCTTACAAACGTTATTCATGTGGCTATAATTCTGTATAAGTATTTATTTATACACTTATTCATAAGTATGCAGTACCATAACTACATCTCTGACGTTTATAACAAACCAAACCATTGAGCAAGTTATGGTTATTTAGAAAGTACAAGCACCATTAAAACGCAATAGCCGCATTTCCACTGCCGGGCCAGGGCTGAGCCGTGCTAGTGCGTGCCAGGGCCAGTTGCGTTTCCACTGTCACTTCCAGGGCTTGATCGGGGATTACTCAGGGCCAACGGCCAGGATTTCTGACCCGTCGAATACCTTGGGCCAAAGCGGGCCAGCTCGGGCTAGAGGCGTGCTCAAGGTAAAAGGTGGAGTTTAGCTGTGTTATGGAATGTTATGATCTGAAGCAAAATGCACATTTCACTTTTTTATATCGCGCAAAATATTTGCTGCTTGAAATGGAGAATCGCCTGTACTGGTCTGTCGAAGATACCAAAGCTCTTTTGAGCATTTGGGCAGAAGAAAGGGTACAAGATCAATGTGACGGTGTGTGAAGAAACGAGTACGTTATAAAATACATCGATGCTGAACTTTCTAAGCTAAGCATTCAGCGAGCAACGCTTAAAGTTCAGGAAAAAAATTTAAAAGTTGCGGGCGCACTATTGCATTGTATTGGCGACCCGCGAAACAATCGGGACACTATTGCAGCCACGGCCGGTGAGGTAATATACACGCTATCTTCCTAACTTAAAAAATAAATTCATGAAATAAATTCATAATACCCGCTGAAATGGGTTGGGTTGTATGTCGTTTGAACCAGAAAGGCGTGTTAGGGGCGGGGTTACTGGATCGGCAGTGGACACGCTGCGGGGCTACTGGCTCGGCAGTGGACACGCAAGCCTGGTGCTTGAGGCCCGAAGCCACTTGGCTTGCTGTTAGCCCCGGCCCGGCCCTAGCCCGGCAGTGGATATGCAACTAATGTTATGAGTGAGCAAGCTGCCTGTGACAAGATGGCCGCCAGGTGCAGACGTCCATAGATATCTATATAAAGGCTAGATATGTCGTCGCTGCTGGCCAATGGAGGTCGACGTCTGCACCTGGCGGCCATCTTGTCACAGGCAGCTCGCTCACTCGTAACATTGTGTTAATGGTACATGTACTATTTAAATGCTCAATTTTCTACCGATTTTCAAACGGTTTGTTTTGTTATAAATGTCAGAGATGTAGTTATGACACTGCATATGAATAAAAAGTGTATAAATAAATAATAATCCAGATAATTATAGCCACGTTAATAACGTTTGTAAGAAACCTAACCGTTTGTATTTCGTCGAGTATTTGTGTTCGTGCTGACCACTCATCAGCTTGTCTGTGACAAGATGGCCGCCGGTGATGACGATGGAAACTCCGCCGTAACACATCTAGCCTTTATATACATATCTTTGCAGACGTCGACCTTCACTATCCAGCAGCGCAGATGCGACATCTAGCCTTTATTATGGATATCTATGTTCAGGATTACTAAGGCTGAACGCAGGAGAGGTTTTTTCAGTGTTGGAGCCAAATTCTTCAGGACAGCGGCTCTCTAGGACCATACTTGCCTACCCCTGGTTTAAGTAGATTACATGTTCTTCTGAAATATCCAATACCTAAATGTTTTATTGCTTTCTAATATTTTTTTTCCCAAATGTGGCTGCCCAGTTTGAAAGAATTGAAGAATGATGTTGAATTATCTATATTAGCAGCATTAACAGCATGACATTGTTCTATTCCTCATTTGTAAGATAAAGGGGTTGGATAAAGGGGTTTTCTATGTGAATTGTAATGACATTGATATGCTGCTCTAGAAATCTAGAATTCATGATAACATGATATTTCCTGTTGTAGGTCGATGTTTGGTGTGCACAAACACAGCAAAGGATTGTGGGATATTATCAGGCCAACGCTTGTGTGTCAGACAGCAGGTACTCCTTCATTTTTTCTTATATTGAGTTCCTTATTTTTCCACTGCATTTCACTTTCTCTTACTGTCTTTTTCCAGCCCTACACCCTGTGCATTGAAGATCGCAGAGAAGATCTTCGAGCAGTGTAACAATGCCGTGTTACTCATGGTAATTTTGGGGGGGGGAAATTTACTTGTGGGAAATGTCACCTTATTATGAAAGTTACTAGGAAAAGTCCCTTTTTTAATTGGAAAAATGCTTGCCTCAGATCGATGGAGAAAAGATGTTTCCAGGCTGCCGTGTTCCTCCGATTGTAATGTATGAGCGCAAAGACGCTCGCTGGGCACTCAAAGACAAACACACGTAAGAAAATCTCTCTCTGTTTTGTTTTTGATGATAATGTTGTAGTGCAGCTTTTAACGACATGTGTTTTCATTAGAATAATGCTTCGGCAGTGGGAAGAAACCTGTTCCATAGTTAATCAGCTGATCAGCTCTGGTGATCAGGCACTATTGGTGGATTTTGACAGCCATTTGGATGACATCACAAAAGATTGGACCAATCCGAAACTCAATGCCAAGATCATGGAGCTGGTCTCCCCAGCCAATGGAAATGTTTAACTATACAGACTAAATCAGCTCATGTCATAGTGTTTTCACTTAAATTCTGTTTTTAATACTATTTGACTGTGTATCGCGCTTCATTTTGTCATTATGATCTAAATGAAATATGCAGAAACATATTTTTCTTGTTCATTATGATTTGGTGTGTTGATCCTAGATATAATACAACCAGCATATTTCCTTACTTTCATCATTCTACATGTCATATTTAAGCAAATTAATAATAAGCTATTAATTGTTGATTTAAAGATATATCTAAGAATTAAGTAATTCTGTAATAAAACTAAAATGTTCTTCATCAGGTTCTTTCACTACATGGGGTTCTCGGTTTTTCAGATTTAATACAAATTTTTACACATCCATACTAAACTGATTTTTAAAAAATGTAGAATAGTCTTATAATTCAGCTTTAACTAAATCATGGTGATTGTATTATGGCTGATGCATGTGCATTGTGCATTAATCAAGTCTCTTTACACTCATGGTCAAAATTGATGGCACCCCTGGTAAATATGATCAAAACTGGCTGAAAAAAATAAATCTGCATTGTTTATCCTTTTGATCTTTCATTAAAAAAAAAATTGGCAAAATTCTAACCTTTCATTGAAGTAAAAGAATTGAAAGTGGGGGGTAAATCGCATTATGAAATACACTCACCGGCCACTTTATTAGGTACACCTGTCCAACTGCTCGTTAACACTTAATTTCTAAGCAGCCAATCACATGGCCGCAACTCAGTGCATTTAGGCATGTAGACATGGTCAAGACAATCTCCTGCAGTTCAAACCGAGCATCAGTATGGGGAAGAAAGGTGATTTGAGTGACTTTGAACGTGGCATGATTGTTGGTGCCAGAAGGGCTGGTCTGAGTATTTCAGAAACTGCTAATCTACTGGGATTTTCACGCGCAACCATCTCTAGGGTTTACAGAGAATGGTCCGAAAAAGAAAAAACATCCAGTGAGCGGCAGTTCTGTGGGCGGAAATGCCCTGTTGATGCCAGAGGTCAGAGGAGAATGGCCAGACTGGTTCGAGCTGATAGAAGGGCAACAGTGACTCAAATAACCACCCGTTACAACCAAGGTGGGCAGAAGAGCATCTCTGAACGCACAGTACGTCGAACTTTGAGGCAGATGGGCTACAGCAGCAGAAGACCACACCGGGTGCCACTCCTTTCAGCCAAGAACAGGAAACTGAGGCTACAATTTGCACAAGCTCATCGAAATTGGACAATAGAAGATTGGAAAAACGTTGCCTGGTCTGATGAGTCTCGATTTCTGCTGCGACAATCGGATGGTAGGGTCAGAATTTGGCGTCTACAACATGAAAGCATGGATCCATCCTGCCTTGTATCAACGGTTCAGGCTGGTGGTGGTGGTGTCATGGTGTGGGGAATATTTTCTTGGCACTCTTTGGGCCCCTTGGTACCAATTGAGCATTGTTGCAACGCCACAGCCTACCTGAGTATTGTTGCTGACCATGTCCATCCCTTTATGACCACAATGTACCCAACTTCTGATGGCTACTTTCAGCAGGATAATGCGCCATGTCATAAAGCTGGAATCATCTCAGACTGGTTTCTTGAACATGACAATGAGTTCGCTGTACTCAAATGGCCTCCACAGTCACCAGATCTCAATCCAATAGAGCATCTTTGGGATGTGGTGGAACGGGAGATTCGCATCATGGATGTGCAGCCGACAAATCTGCGGCAACTGTGTGATGCCATCATGTCAATATGGACCAAACTCCCTGAGGAATGCTTCCAGCACCTTGTTGAATCTATGCCACGAAGAATTGAGGCAGTTCTGAAGGCAAAAGGGGGTCCAACCCGTTACTAGCATGGGGTACCTAATAAAGTGGCCGGTGAGTGTAAATGTTTAAATGCTGGCCATAATTGTTGGCACCCCTAGAATTTTTTATGAGAAAAATCTCTGAAATATATTTCCATTAATATTTTAATTTTTAAGCACACCAGGGTGATTACTAGGAACATGAAATTGTCCAGTCATTACTTCTTGTTTCAAGGAGTTTAAATATGAGGAAGCACAAAGGCCAAATCCCCTTCATCATCCATCACAATGAATAAAACCAAAGAACATGGTTCTGATGTGCAGCAAAAGATTGTTGAGCTTCACAAAATAGAAAGTGGATGTAAGAAAATAGCTAAAGAATTGAAAATTCCCATTTTGACCATCAGGACAATAATTAAGAAGTTATAATCAACTAAAGATGTTAGGAATCTGCCACGAAGAGGACTTGTGTCTATATTGCCTTATTATACCATGGTCTGGGTGAATACTCGATTCTGATTGGCTGCAGGGTGTCCGTTAAAAAGTGATAGAGGACACCTAGTAAAGTAGTTCTGGTGAAACTGCCTGTTTACCATTCGAAATTAATAAATAAATGCGCTGCCTACAACGGCTGTGAGTAACCATAGCAACAGGCAGTCACATGCTCTATCATCTAACGTTAGTTATACCATGGTCTGGGTGAATACTCGATTCTGATTGGCTGCAGGGTGTCCGTTAAAAAGTGATAGAGGACACCTAGTAAAGTAGTTCTGGTGAAACTGCCTGTTTACCATTTGAAATTAATAAATAAATGCGCTGCCCACAACGGCTGTGAGTAACCATAGCAACAGGCAGTCACATGCTCTAGCTCTATCATCTAACGTTAGATATTATAGCCTAATACAACAATGAGCGACTTCGTGCTATTTCTTTTAACATTTATGGAGAATATGGCAACTTTGACGACTGGTATGCTGCTGAAGAAAGAAAAAATGTAAATAAAACGGAGAAAATTACACCGCTGCTGCTCTGCTCCATTGAACTCTATGTAACGACGTAACTTGCGACCATAGTTGGATAACGATGCTTTCGGGAAACGCACCCCTGAATGAGACCCAGCGGGAGTTTTACGCAGCTGTCCAGACAACCAATGCAGGAGAAGGCTGAACGTTACAGCGTTTCAAGCCTAAGGAGCCTGAGGCAAATGACCCTCTCTTTGATCTGATCAATTTATTGCCCTCTATAACGTTAAAGGATTAGTTCACTTTTGAAAAAACTTTTGCTGATAATTTACTCACCCCCATGTCATCCAAGATGTCCATGTCTTTCTTTCCTCAGTCGAAAAAAAATTTAGGTTTTTGATGAAAACATTCCAACATATCCAGGATTTTTCTCCATATAATGGACTTCAATGGGAACCGGATGGTTCAGGTCCAAAAGATAGTGTTAATAACAGTTTCAGATGCAGCTTCAAATGTCTTTAAACGACACCAGACGATGAATAAGGGTCTTATCATGCGAAACGATCGGTTATTTCAATGCTTACTCCAAAAATGTAACTTTTCTAAGGACAAATGCTAGCCTTTCTCCATTCTGTGAGGCGCGTTTGCAACGTCACGTAGTACGTAATTACGTTCAAAAGGTCACGGGCGACGTAGCCAGAAGTACAGAGTCAGTGTTTACAAGTTGAACGCATAGGTTGAACGTGAAAACTAACTCAAACGCCGTTTACAAAAAAGAAATTAAAAGGTAAAACAACGATGTCGGACGATTTTGATTCTGTACTTCCGGCTACGTCGCCCGTGACCTTTTGAACGTAATTACGTATTACGTGACGTTACAAACGCGCCTCACAGAATGGAGAAAGGCTAGCATTTGTCCTTAGAAAAGTTACATTTTTGGAATAAGCTTTGAAATAACCGATCGTTTCGCATGATAAGACCCTTATTCATCGTCTGATATCGTTTAAAGACATTTGAAGCTGCATCTGAAACAGTTATTAACTGTCTTTTGGACCTTGAACCATCCGGTTCCCATTGAAGTCCATTATATGGAGAAAAATCCTGGAATGTTTTCATCAAAAACCTAAATTTCTTTTCGACTGAGGAAAGAAAGACATGGACATCTTTGATGGCATGGGGGTGAGTAAATTATCAGCAAAAGTTTTTTCAAAAGTGAACTAATCCTTTAAGCGCAAATCGCTGGAGCTCAGAGCTAATTGTTTTTTTATTGTTGTTTGATTAATTGTTTTATGTGTAATAAAAAAAAAACTATGCCTACCTTTGTGTTTCATGAAAAAAAAAAATGCATTTGTGAACCTGAAGGGATACGAGCTAAGCGGACTATAAATATCTCCGGTTGCTAAATAAACAGTCAGGCAAGGCAAGTTATTATTTGTAAAAACTAGATTTAGCCTAATTAAAATATAAACTAATGTTTTAAAAATGTTTTATTTGGCAAGTGACCATGGTATAAGCGGGTTAATGCCCTCCGAGGGGTCCATTGTCAGGTTTTAATGGACTTCGGCGGAGGCAACCGTCCTCCGTTGCGCGTCGGCCGGTTTACGCCTCGCCGTCGTCCATTAAAACCTGACGATGGACACCTCGTCGGGCATTAACCCTTACATGGACGGTGAGGATGAAAGTTTGAGTGGCCAAAGACTCTTCAAGGATCACAGATGGAGAATTGCAGAGATTAGTTGAGTCTTGGGGTCGGAAAAACTAAAAATCAAATTGTCAGACAAACTACATCCCCACATGTTGTTTGGGAGGGTTTCAAGAAAAATCCTCCTCGCTCCTCCAAAAACAAACTCCAGCATATTCAGTGGTCAGACACGACTGGATCTTCAAATGGCACAGCCTTCTGTGGTCAGATGAAACTAAAAAAAAACTGGCTTTTTGGCAGCAAACACACTAGATGTGTTTGGTGCAAACAGGGATGAAGAGTACCCCATGCCTACGGTTAAATATACTGCTGGATCTTATATGTTGTGGACCTATTTATTTGCTGGAGGTCCTGGACATCTTGTTCAGATATATGGTATTATGGATTCTATCAAATATCAACAGAAAAAAAAATCAAAACCTGACACCTTCCTCTAGAAATCTAATATTGGGCCGTGGTTGGATCTTCCATCAGGACAACGATCCAAAACAAACATCAAAAAAATGTGTTGGGGAGCACAAAATGAAGCTTCTGCCATGACCGTCCCAGTGTCCTGACCTGATGAGTGGAGAGTGAACTGAAGAGAAGAAGCACCAACATGGATCTGGGAATCTGCAGGATCTGGAGAGAGTCTGTATGGAGGAATGGTCTCTGATCTCTGGTCAGGTGTTCTCCAAACTCATCAGGCATTATAGGAGAAGACTCAGAGCAGTTATCTCGTTCAAAAGGAGATTGCAAAAAGTATTTAATAACAGGGTGCCAATAATTATGGCCAGCGTGTTTTGGAGAAAAACATTTATTTCATAAAGTGATTTACCCCTACTTTCAATTCTTTTACTTCAATGAAAGGTTAGATTTTTGTGATTTTTTTTCATGAAAGATATTTTTCACAGCCAGTTTTGATCATATTTACCAGGGGTGCCATCAATTTTGACCATGACTATAGATGAGTAGGTGATTCCTTGCAGCAAATTGAGAACAAACCAAAGCACTCAGAGAAGCATGATTTGAAATATGAGAATCTTCGGGTGTGTCTGGAGCTTTTATTTCCTGTTCTCTTCCCTTCTTTTCAGCACTGCTAATATGTTTGCATTTTTAAACCTGTATGATTTTCTTTCTTCTGTGGAACATAAAACATATTTTGAGAATTGTCTCTGTGTTTTTGCCCACACAATGAAAGTCAACTGGCACTATTCAATTTAATCTGTTTAAGCCAATCAGAATTCAGGGTTACTATCATGTTAAGTCAAGCCTACTTTCTGGAATACCGTCCCCAGGGGAGCAAATAATCACACATGCTGAGTAGCAATACAAAGTAAAGATTAAATGGATGAATAAAGGTGTGGGAGGGAAGAGGGAGATGGTCAGCAACAATCAATAAAACAGACCTACAATACACAGATGTTTATAGATAATTATACAGATGTATGAACAAGAACATTAAAGCATACATGAAAACAAGTGAGATTTGACATTGTAGTCATATTAGTGTATATTTTAGCAGGTCTACCAAAGGAAACAAATACCAATTTTCCTAAAATATCAAATACCTACTTCATTCATTGTAGTGTCGTCATAGGTGGAATTTTTATCCAATTTGGGAGTGTATTTTCTGAATTTCCTCTGGTTTATATCAAGTTTTGTTAAGTTTAAACATTATGTTCAGGAGAGGTGAATTCGTGAAAAATGTGTAGCAGCAGACTAAGTTTTAGATCAGATTAAATTATGCTTAAATCTTTGCAATGATTTGATAAAAATAAAAATTTCCATCACTGTCCCTAGCAGCTGTTTATGAAATTTGGTAAAGATCAGACCAATAGCCTAGAATGAGTACAATTTTTTATTTTATTTTTTTGTATCAAAATGGAGAAAAAAATGTAAAGCCTTTGGTAGGTCGTTGACTCAGGGATTCAGGGGGAAAAAAAATAAATAAATTCTCAATATTTCCAACACATTAATTGCCTTGTTATAATGCCCACACACTTTTAGGGGAAGATGATGGTGAAGAAAAATAAGTATAAAGAGGGTGCTTGACTGGATCACTAAAAAAGATGCATGACACCCCTGATACTTGCATGATTCAATGTTTTTGTATAGCTATTGATGACTAAAGTTGGCATGAGCTAAAACAAGTAGCCTCATACTGCTTAGTCGATAAAATCTAAAAAAAGCTTTCAGTTTATGCCTTTACGATTGAGACAAGGCAAGTGACAACAACATTTATTGCCATTGATTGATATAAAGTGACAAATACAATGATACATTAGCGTTATCGTAAGTTATTTCAAACAATCCTTGGTGCCTAAAAAGCTGAAAAGTGTTTAAAATGTCTTGAAATGAACTGGTAGCCTGGTATGACAACATGGGAAATGAACAGCAGTGTCGACCATCTCCTGATTCTGGTAAACTTCTGCTAAACGCTGTTGTTCAAGACCACTCTTCAAACCCCAGTTGGCCTGCTTTGGACCAAGGTATTCAGCTTTTGGCCGACATGCCTATTGACTAAAGATGTCTACAATGCAGTAATACAAAGGTATTACTTATAAATATTTAACTGCTATATATATTTAAGCAACTAATAACTGCAGCATTTCCACTAACAGTAATGTGTTTCTACTAGTTGTCTTAAGCCATTTTCCTCTTCATTTTGATCCTTAATGTTTAGAATGCTGTGAGTGATATCTTAGAGGTTTGTTACTCCAATACTTCAACAAAGGTTCAGAGTCACTTCCCCTGTAGGAGACTGGCTGGCCAAACATTTGAGAATTGCAATAGGGTCTCTTAGGGTCTTGACCTCTTCTATCTGCAACTCAACCCATGGTAGAGAGATCTGGAGAGAAAAAAATTCAAATGAAAAGTGCTCCCAAAACAAATGTATAAACAGAATTTTTTTTTTCACTGTACATGTCCCAAAACATTTTTTAGCATCTACCTTCCTATAAGGTATTTACCTTAATGATGATGTGTTTATCAGAGATGTTGTCTCCATCATACAGTTCTTCTCCGAAACACAGCATGATCTCACTTTGAGGTTCTTTTCCTCCATTGCGGAAAGCATCCAACTCTGAGAATAGGAAAGAAAATCAACTGGTCAAAACTTGGTCTTACTGTATATAGAAGACGAAAAGAAACATGACATTATGTTTACACTATATTATAGCCCGAGGAGAACTGACCCATCGTTTTTGTTTTTTTTTCTCCTGTATCTAAAACCAACCTTTTTTGTTTTATTACTTGCCACAATTGCCTCTGGCTTGATCATTGGGCAACTTCAAATATGATCTGCCAGTCCAAATATGATCTAAATGACTGAATGTCCACAGTGTGTATTGCAACTGTATGTTAAGGTCTGATTTGTGTGTCTCTTGCCGTTGCGTTGGTATGCCTACACACCAAAAACAACAACAGCAACACGGAGGTGTTGGGAATACAGCTGTTGTATTACAACATGTGTAGCCGGTAAGGGTGTAACGGCACACAAAACTCATGGTTCGGTATGTACCTCGGTTTTGAAGTCATGGTTCGGTGTGGATTCGGTACTGCAGGGGGGAGGAAACTAACCATAAAATGTCTTCTTTTTCTTTTTATTAAACTGTGGTTTAATGAACATGGTGTCTCTGTCATTAAATTAATTAAATTACAATTAAAGATTGTAAAAGACAGAGCCCAAAATATTGTTGTATTATTTAAATTCAGTTACTGTTTATTACTGCTGGGAACCCGTAGTCAGCTGGGGCTGAAGAGTAAAAATCTTCAGAAAAGGCCATATCCAGCTAACAATTTGCCATTAAAGGGATACTCCACTTTTTTTTTTTTTTGGAAATAGGCTTATTTTACAACTCCCCCAGAGTTAAACTGTTGAGTTTTACCTTTTTTGAATCCATTCAGCACTTTAGCATAGCTTAGCAATAGCATACATCATTAAAGTGCACAAGACCATTAGCATTTCTCACAAAAAAAGGACCAGTGTTTCGATATTTTTCTTATTTAAAACTTGACTCTTCTATAGTTACATCGTGCACTAAGACAGACAGAAAATGTAAAGTTGCGATTTTCTAGGCTGATATTGTTGGAGAATTCTGCTTGTCCTATGTACATGTGAAAGAAGCGTGCATGTGATGTAATGCCAAGCAGAAAAAACTAGGTCATAGGGCACATGAGGACAGGGACGAGAGAGTGGAAAAGTACCCAGAAAACACTTGTAGCACAGATGCAGGTGTTGGGAGGCACTGGGAGAGAAACAGATTGTATACAATGTAACAATGTGCCACCGAGAAAAGCATACTAAAACAAGGAGCCCATTGTGTAAAAAGATACTAATACAGGAGCCCATTGTGTAAAAAAACACTAATACAGGAGCCCATTGTGTAAAAAGACACTAATACAGATGTCCATTTTTTTAAAAGAAAAGATACACATGCGCAAAGAAGGTTGCCCCAATTAAAAATAAAATGATGATCCAGGTGTTTTTAATCTGGGAGGAGTAATAAGGAGGAGCAAGGAGAGAAAAGATAACAATTTGAGCGCCACAAGGTATAAGAAACGAGTGCAGACCATTGTAAGATCAGATGCTTGGCCACGTCTCACTTTGTTGAACTGCTCAATAAAGTTAATTCTCCTGAGACCTGAAACTTCGACTCTGAAAGGTTTTTGAGACCTGAACCAGATTTTGATGACTTGATTTGAAGACTTAGAATTTGCCACAACAATATGCAGGGAACTATACTCTCATTCCTGCGTAATAATCAAGAAACTTTACTGCCGTACCATGAGTGCAGTGCAGCAGGCGTGATGATTACAGACTTAGTCCTGGGCACGTTGGAAGCTGGGCACTGTTTTCAGGCGCTGCGTCATAACATTGCGCCTGCTGCACTCATGGTACGGCAGTGAAGTTTCCTGATTATTACGCAGGAATGAGAGTATAGTTCCCTGCATATCAGCCTAGAAAAAAACACATTTACATTTTCCGTCTGTCTTAGTGCACAATGTAACCATAGAAGAGTCAAGTTTTAAATAGGAAAAATATCGAAACACTTTGGTCCTTTTTTTGGGAGAAATGATAATGTTCTTGTGCACTTCAATGATGTATGCTAAGAACCGGAGATCGGCTGAATGGATTCAAAAAAGGTAAGACTCAACAATTTAACTCTGGGGGAGTTGTAAAATGAGCGTATTTCCAAAAAAAGTGGAGTATCCCTTTAAGTTATGAAAACATTCAAAAAGTCCAGTTTTTTTATATATGAAAGTTTTTCCTGGTTTATGTGAATGTTAGAGGCCCTGTTTCCACATAATATTAAGAACCGTTTTGTTTGACCGGATATAGACCATCTTTTTTCAAAAGCTAACAATTTGACCATCTATGGGATATACGAGGTAATTGATGATGAAGAGTTGATTGGCTAGAACGTGCTCCTCCCGAACTTTATTAATGAAAAGTCATTAAAGGAACCACACTAGCCAGACGGGATTTAAACTTTGTCGGCTGAAGACCCAAGTTTGTTTTGAAGACGAAAAACGTACCAAACACAATGTTCCTGATCACAATTCCTGATTTCTAACACGCACTCACCGCGTTTGGCTGGTCTTGTGGCATAAGGACAAATTAGTATCACCAGTTTACCTATGCGGCATGACTTTGAACTGTGGCGGACACTAGATTACCCAGAGGAAACCCACACTGACACAGGGAGAACATGCAAACTCCGCACAGAAAGACTCATGGCTCAGTTGGGACTCGAAATGGGGACTTTCTTGCTGTGAGGTGAGTGCTACTGCTACCCACTGAGCTGTCCTGCTTATATTTATGTTTATATTAATTGAAATTACATATATATATAAAAAAACTATTAATTTCTTACAGCCACAGGTAGATAAGTAACAAACATCAAGTTCCAAAAATTGTGTTAAGATACATTTTCCCAGAGAATACAAGTTTCGAAGTGCATTAAAAGTTTGAATTATAAAATAAACAGATAAGACTTTACGTTAAGGTTTACATTTTACTGTAGCAGTCAAGTCACCTTTATTTATATTGTTTATACAATGCAGATTTTTTTCAAAGCAGCTTTACAGTGATAACAGGAAAATGATTCAATGATGCACAACAGGGCAGCTCTAAAAGAAAGTGTCATTGCTCAGCTTAAGTTAAGTTGATTCAGTTCCGTTTTAAAGTAGTTCATTTCATCAATAAAGCACCTCTGCAGAAAACAGTGATGTCATCGTCCAGCTCAGTTCAGTTCTGATTCAACAGCGTCTGTGAAGTCAAATCAATAATATTGTTGAAAATAAAATGTCCCCAACTAAGCAAGACAGAGACAACAGTGGCAAGGAACCCAAACTTCTTCAGGTGACAGAATGAAGAAAAACTTTGGGAGAAACCAGGCTCAGTCATGTTCTCAGCCAGTTCACCTCTGACAACAAATGAAAACTGTCAGAATCAGATTGTAGATTGTGGATGCAATGTGGAAGCATTCAAATATTTCATCCAGTTCCTTTTATTTTAAACTGTTAAGAGTCTCTGGGAAGTACAGTCCAAGGTAATTCCCATCTGTTGTTCCCAAGTGCTATTTTACATTTAATTATCACGTACCTGAGATGAATACTAGTTAGACCTTCCTTTATTTGTAACTTTGTTATATTGTATTTATCTATGCTTGCAATTAATGTATTTGTTACTGACTGTTCACACATGCCTTTAATAATGTTTGAATTTTCTGCTGTGGTATCGGAGTACTTAAAGTGTGCTTTAAGTAATAAATGGATCGCAAAGTTACCCCCACACCCCCCTATCGTTAATTTCTTGCAGATCTAAAATCTGATAAGATCTGATCCGTAAGTTTTGTGATCTGTTAAACCACTGAACAACAGATGAAATGCTGTTACAAAAGGGAAAGTTCAAAGTCCTGAATGCTTAGTGTAATGCATTAAGCCAGTTTATTATACTTGCTTGCCTGTATATTTTATTTGCATAACTTGCATTCATTGTTTGTTCCTTATGCAACATCTTCTGACTTTATGTTATCTTCTCTTGAATTCTCTTTAATGATAGTAACATTTAAAACATGAACGTCCAACTAAAACATTACAAATATTCATTCCATGACTGATGTAGAAATAATGTTTTTGTGCTAACGTTTTGAGAATTTTTTTAAGACCAGATGACTATGAACTTTGCAGTTCTCAAAGTATGAGTTTGTTCATAACTTTGAGAGAACCTTGCCAGAATGCTAGCCAAGGTTCCGAGAACGTTCCGTTAGCTGGGAATCTGCTAAAACAAGCGACTAATATTCCAAAAACATTCAGCAAATATTAATCATAACGACTTTTCAAGAATGTTGTTTTCTCTCAATGTTATGAGAACATTTAATTAGCAATACCATTTTAAGGATGTTCTATGAACATTGTTCTCACAATGTTTTCTTTCTACATTATGAGAACATTCATCAAGTAAAAATTACATCGTAAAGTCATTCCATGAATGTTGTAAGAACATTTTTCTACATTGCTAGAACGTATATTATTAATACAATTAAAAGAACGTTCCATAAACATTATTTTAAGAACGTTTTGTCCTAACATTTACATAACAATTAAAGAACATTAGTGAAATTTATGGGAACATCTAGACCTAACAGACCAGTGTTGTATTCGAGAGAGACCAGCTCACTCGAGTCCGAGTCGAGACCGAGACCAAAGAGAGTCGAGTCCGAGTCGAGACCGAGACCACAGAGAGTCGAGTCCGAGTCGAGACCAGAGAGGTCGGATAATCTAAGGTTGGGTCTGAAACCAGACTTAAAGATATCTTTAAGAATATTTTAAATATTTGGTGGTAACAATAAAATTGGCACCATACTCATGTAAACCCAATATACCGTGGAATCATGTACACTGTAATGGTAAAAAGGCCACATAGTGGTGTAAAGGTAATTTTATTACAATTATGACTTAAAATTATTACAATCAGTAAGTTCTATTTCACATAACATTACTGCACATGACTTCTTATATCCAAACTGAATTATGGATGATAAGGCAGGCATTTTCGATACATAGTTGAGCTAGAGGCTTCACATCACATCTGACCTGGGTCTTGCTGCATTTGCGCGCCGCGAACGTTATAGTCTCAAGTCATCCGCAGTTGCGGACAAGAAAGTCGGCAATCATTGGACGTTTCAATAAAACAATTTAAAGAAATATTAACATACAGCAATAATCATGACATATTTTGAATGGGACTCGAGTGGACTCTAGAATAAGTCCGAGTCCTAATATGTTCGAGTACGAGTCAATTCCAAGTCAAAATGCACACGAGTTCATGACAAGACCGAGACCATTAAAATATGGACTCAAGATCGAGTCCGAGACAGAGTCTTGAGTACACAACACTGTAACAGACCCTAGCCAGTAGCCACCTTCAACTTCTCCCACCAAATGCCGTCGTGATATATCCAGATCTTTAAGCAGAAGGAACTGGAAGAAATATATTGAATGAACAGTTCACAATCTCCGATCTGGAATCATAATCCCCGACTGAGCCTGGTATCTCCCAAGTTTTGGTTTCTTGCTACTGTCGGCTTTGGCTTGTTAAGTTGGGGACACTCAATATTCAGCAGTATTATTGGTGTAACTGCACTGACACTATTGGATGAGAACTGAGCTGGACCGATGACATCATCGCACAAAGCTGCTTTATGCTACAATTGAACTCATTTCATAATTGATGAGCTTTACACAGTTCTTAAACCGAAAACAATGAACCGAATAATGACAATACCCTGTGTTTTTTAGAGTTGCTTTACAGCAGAATGGGCTCTACGCATGGCGGCATTTCCGGTGAAGGTCTAAGGATGCTCAATAACTTTCACCGATCGTAGAGTCCAATGCAATACCGAGAACTTATATTGAATTTTATACTCCATGGTTATACTAAAGAAACGTTAGTCACAAAAACAGACAAAACAGACACCCCTCGTTGAGTTTATGCTTCAATTTCAAATTATATTAAATAAACATAACTATATATAAAATTACATCTAAACGTATGAAAGTTTCATTTCAAAGACGGGAGGACAGTAAGTTTTGAAGACTGTCATAATCCCGTTTTCCTAGGTTTTCCACCGCTTTAATCTCCCCAACCGGAAACTGAAGAGCATCCTCGCGTCAAATGCGTATAGCTATATATATATAGCTATATACTGTATAGTATATTGAAAAATCTGTTTGTATCACTGACTTTCCTGTTATCACAGTACAGCTTCTTTGAAACAATATGTATTGTATAAGGCGGTATATAAATAAAGGTGATACAGGCAAAGAGGTATGTAGATGAAGCAGACTAGCAATATATTGTAATTTTGCAATTAACCTACACCACGAAACAACACAACCTTGTTTCTGCAACAACTCTCAGCATGTTGTCTACTACAACATCTGATGTATTTCATGGCATGAGAAAGTAACCAAAGCAGAAAAACGATACAAATTAAAGCAGTAAGATTAAAACGCATTTCTGGAAATTAGATTTGAATGGGATTTCAAACCAAATAGCTTGAAATGGATTTGTTAAAATTGCTAGATTTTCACACTTGCTAGATACGATCAGATTCCAATCAGATAAGCACAAAAAAATGGATTTGGACTGGCAGTCTCAACAGGGCATAGTCTATAGGACTAAAGATTTATGGAATTACTTTCTAGCAGAAAGGTGAGCACTATGACCAAAATCTTGTGCCACAAAGATGGGTTATCCTCTATCACAGTAGTGGCACAAATCAGGATTCTGCTGACGTTGGTATGCATAAACCAATATTCTCCACTTTTTCTATCAATGTCCACATGCAAACACCATTACCAAAACAAGCTCAACAGCACTTCAGACACACTCAAATGGTTCAAAACTTTCAGTTCTCTCCTCTGCCCCATCTACCTCAAGCTGATGACTGCTAATTTTTTAATACAAAGAACACAAAAAATAGAAAAGCAAATGCCATTATACTTTATAATAATTATGTATAATTTATTAGACAGAACTTTAAAACAAAGATAGTAAAGTAATGGCAAAAGAATGGGAGCAAACAGAAAAACTAAATTAAAAAATGTCAAATATCAGCAATCAATATCATCAATATTTTGTCCCTGGCAATATATCATTTGACCACTATTTAGGAGCTGTTATAACACTCTTTAAAATAAAGGTTCTTTATTGGCATCTATGGTTCCATGAAGAAAATTTAACATCTTTCCTATGGCTAAAAACTTATTTATAGCCTAGTGGAAAAAGGTTCTTGAAAGTCCAATTTTCTTAACACTAAGAAAACAGTAGTCGATTGTCGAGTTCACGCGTGCGATCATTGGTGAATATCATCTCAAAGTACCACTGTGTGGTGTTCTGAGAATATCAGCTCCAAATGGATAGTTCATCCAAATCAGATGTTGAACACACGGAGGAGGTTTGAGATGATATTCACCAATGATCGTGCGAGTGAACTTGACAATCGACTACTGTGGGCTACGACCGAAAACAGGAAGCAAATGTGGTATGTGAGCTGGCTGGATTAACATCATTTTTGTTAATATCTTTCACATCTACTGCGGTCAGATTGACCGTGGTCACTCTTAGGCCGTGTGTCCACCAAAGCGATTTTCCACGCGCCTGGCGTATGTTTTCAATTGTTTTCAATGGGAGCGCCGCGTTTTTTAAACGCCGTGGGCGTACCGAGGCGCAGAGCGTTCTTTTTCTCGCTGAAGCGCCGAGCGCCCAGCGTTTTTACTGGTCGCTGGGAGTTGAAAAATGTTCAACTTTGGATAAAACGCAGCGCTTATCACGGTCACATTTTACCCAGGCGTCCAATCACAGTGGAGGAGGGGCGGGACCAAACCACACCAACCAACTGTCACAACATTCAAACTGCTGCATATATTGCGGATCATAGCAACGAAACGTCTCAACAGAAACCCGCTGCGCTTCCAAAGCGCTCTCAAGCGCCCAAAGCACGGCGTCTTCAGCAGAGCGTCTAGCGTTTTCAGCTGGATAAAAACGCTTTGGTGGACACACGGCCTTAATAACACCACTCACATGGCTGTGCACTCGTAATGACAAATCAAGGATGTTAAGAGGCTTAAAAGCAGGTTTAGAACTTGCCCCATTGAAGTCAACAGGGTGCGAATTTTAAAAAGACGATAACATGGTGTAGGTAACAACGATTTTTGTCGTTTTTGTCTGTACTGACAGCACTCCAAATGTACAAAAAAAAAATGAGCTCAATGTTAAAATTGACCGGAGTTCTCCTTTAACAAATATTATTAAATGCTCTATACGTGCACTTCATTATTAGGTCATGTTAACTAATAAACCTTATTGTAAGGGTTGATGGAACATAGAAATTTAAGTTGACCGCTCAAGTAATTTTTTATTCTGGGTTTTCCAGTGCAAAAAATTTGCTTGTGAAACACTTACCCTGTTTGAATGTATCCATGTTGAACAGCTGGGTAAGCTCGCCTGCCCTCTCCATTTTACAGGGTCCTGTGGTGGTGTTGTGCGGTCCTCTCCAGAACACCCGCCCCTGACAAAAACGCTTGGCATAGATGCCTCCTCCTGTCAAGGTCAGCACAACTCCCCGCTCCATGAAGGGCAGTAATTTTTTAAGATCATTCAAACGTGGAGCAAGGATGGGGTCATCAACCAGGTCTAATGGGGGCTCTGGGAGAGGGATTCGATGGAAGCAAGGGCCGCTCAGAGACGGTGGAGACGGAGGGACAGGTGACGGAGGTAGGTAAGCAATCCGAACATCATCACTCCTAACTTCTCGCCGCAGAACCTCCTGACCAACGTAGTGCACGGTTATGTGAAAAGTGTTCAGCACTGAAAAAAAAAAAGTGTTTTTAGAAACCATCTGCTGATAGTTTGGTTAAACATGAAATATATTGAGATCAGATTTGTTCTACTCAATAAATGAATCAAATTGTATTTTTAGTTACCCCTCCTTTCTTCAGACAAAGGCACTGTTTCGATTGTAAAGTTTAGCTGGATATCTTCAGCACCTCAAGAAAGTGTTAAATAACAATAAGTCAGTTATCCACTTTGCATTTTTAACATCAACATTGACCGAAGTCGAAAACTTATTGAGTAAAATCAGATAATTACTGTCACTCTTTAAGAGGATTGTCTGCATCCCGATCTCACTTCCTGTATGTGGTACAGTTTCCTGTGCGCTCTGTTAAGATCAGAAGTGGAAATAGTGCTCAATTCATAGTAGACTCTGCTAAGTGGAATGTAAAATGTGTCTCAGTGCACGTTTTCGACTGTTTGTTTTGCTTCTGTAAGGCGGGCTTTTTCTAATTAGCATGCTTGTTGCAAATAGCATCTTAATTAAAGTTTGAACAGCATAGCTCTTCAATGATTAGTTATGTTTTTACCATGTTGATGGGCTGGAACACAACAACCTCCTTTTTGATCTTTTTGCATTCGACCTCCTGATCATGCTCAGATTCGCTGTGTCTCCTCCTGATGCTTCTCGCTGCTTTCTGTCCATTCTCTTTTTTTACTTTCACCCCTCCTATGATCAGAGGAAAATGAAGTAAATTAGTAGTACACAAAGTAACTCCTATACGTACTCACATGAATGTTTGCTGTTCATGTAAACTGCAGGAATGGGCAAAACTTCAAATGCCATTTTTTATAGTCAATGTTTGATGTCTAAGAAAGCTTATTTTCTCCAAAATATAAATATAAAAAAATATATACTGTAATATTATTAAATTATTTATTATTATACAATTATTATACAAAATATTATAATTATATAGTAATTATTATACAAATTAAAGCTGCAAGCAGCATTTATCGGTGTTCAAGCAGTTCAGGCCTTTAAGCACAAAAGCATTGAAAGGCATTTAATTTTATTTAACATGCATTTATCCACGGACATAATAGATGTAAAACACCATTTACAATCAATACAGGCAATTTGGAAATACATGGTTTTAAAGCTTTTTAACAGTTATAGTGCCACCTATGGTCCGATCTCCATGAAACTGTGCATGCTTCTTCAGCATGTTATGAGACATATGCTCATCAATTTCTCATCAGTTTTCCTTTAGGATTTATATGATTTTGGGTGCATTTTGTCCCATCCCTTTTGTAAACGACCCTGTTACAGCCAATCAAAAGCAAAAGTTCTACTTTTTTTCGATAATTATTTATCTAGAGAGTCCAGAGAATAGTATAGGGCAAAAAACCAGGGACTAGTTCGCAAAAGTGGGTTTTGGACAAAAACCGAAATAACAAATTTTTTGCTCCAAATGGAAATCCGAGATATACATCTTGTCCGTCTTGAGCCAGGGATTACAGTGGTGTAAAAACATTGAAGCTAAGTCAAACGGTCTTGGAGTTATGAGCAATTTAGTACATTTGGTTGCTGTAGCGCCACCTATGGGCCAATCGGGGTCATACTCTGATAGCTTCTCCACAATTCGAGGCCCTACCATCTGACAAAGTTTCACAGCTCCAGCCCTTACGGTTTGGGCTGCACGATGCGTTTTAGGGGATTTTTTTTTTCTTTCTAGCAAATACAATAGGTTTTCAGCACTTCGTGCTTGAACACCTAAATATTAAAGGATATTTTGTATTTTTACAGAACATTCAATTCAATTCACTTCCAATTATTGTCATTGAGCAAAGTACAAATACAAAGCCAATGAAATGCAGTTAACATCCAACCACCAGGATGCAGAATAAAGTAGTAATAATTCCAAGAAATGCAAAAAAAGTGATTGAATTTAACCATATGCATGTAGGTAAGGGTGGACTGCAGCACGCACAACGATAGAGTTCACAAACAATGTGTTTAGAATAACAAACTCTCAGGAGATATCTAGAATCTAGAAAACGCTAACTAAACTGAAACGAGAACTGACAAGGGACTAAACAAAACGGGGAGTATGAATACAAGTCGAGCATAACTACTGACAGGTGATAATTATATACTACTATAGAAACAAATCAGACAAACACTCCCCTTAAATCCTCTGGCTCCAACACACCTGCCTGTACGTTTCTAGTGGTCCTAAAGACCTTGATAAGCTGGTTCAGGTTTAATTAGGACTAGAGCTAAACTCTGCTGGATAGTGGCCCAGGACTGGACACCCCTGGTTTAGACCAATCAAGCCTCATTATGGTGTGAACATGCTAAGGAGTTTTGCAAATTTAGGGATTATTTTGTGTTGAAATGTATGTGGGGGGCATGAGAGAAAGAGACTGAAGGTGTAAAATGCGTGAGAGTTGGCAACCCTGCAATGTTACACACAAAAGTTTCCACATCCATGGGTTACCTTGTTCTTCTAGTGGTACGAGGCGGTACACTTTGTAGGGTTCTGAGATGTCCAGCTGTGATCTTTCAACGACCTCACTAAACTCTGGACTTTTGTTGAGGGCACAGCGAAGGCGAGTTTTCCAGGATGCAGGGTCATTTCCATTCTCCAAAAGCTTCCCTTTAAACTCCGCCCATGCCTTCAATCAGAAAAGTTCAAATTAATATTTAAAAAAAAAAATGTTTAATTTCATACGAAGTGAATTACTGCTCAAACTATCTTTCAAATAAATTATGACCAGTAATGTGCAAATTAATTATCATCAACATGTAATTCCACAGAGGTAGAAACAAACTATTTGATATACTAGTATATATACTTAATATATAAAGTAGGAGAGCAAAAGTATTTGAACACCCTGCTATTTTGCAAGTTCTCCCACTTGGGCCCTGTTTACACGAGAACGCTTGCGGGTGAAAACGTAAAAATATTTTATCGGATGTGCCTTTTGTTTACACGGCGACTGCGTTTTTGAGGCTTAAAAATGCAAAAAAGTGAAACCACCCTCCAGAGTGGAAATCTTAAAAACGCTCCACTGCCGCGTTCCCGTGTAAACGGTAAAAGCGCAAAAGTCTGCTCGACAGTGAAGTTTGTACGCAGGCGCGTGGACTTGGTGTTGTTGTAGTACGCACTCCTAGCCGCCTGGAGTGCATACTAGATTGAATTTCACGCACTTTTGCGTCACCATTTGCACGCGGATTTCCCACACAAAACGCTCGTCTAAACGCAGAATAAAAAGTGATGACGCAACTAGGGTTGGGTATCGTTTGAATTTGAACGATTCTGATTCCGATTCCGATTCTTTGTTTCGATTCCGGTTCCTAACGATTCTCGATTCCGATTCTTTTAAGAGGCAGGGTCAAAAAAGTTTAGCTAACCTTGCTAACCAACGGCCTTTCTGAAGGAAATACTCCTTCTGTAAAAATACTCCTTTTGTCACAAATTTTGCATTTTGCCGAGATTTCGTTATTTTTAGAAAAGTGAAGCCACACTTTGGATCGCCGACGTAAGGTACTCATGTTCGACTCGCGTAGTTATGCCAACACTTCCGGTAGATGCTTCTTCGTTGGTGTTGTTCAGCGGTTTCTTCTTCCGCTCGGCGGACTGTGAATATCGAAATTTTAACTTTTGAACGATTCCGGGAAAAACGAAAAGTTAGTCCCGGTTCCAATCGATACTCGATTCTCGATACCCAACCCTAGACGCAACGCCACTTTTGCGTTTTCTCTTCAGAATCGTTTCCGTGTAAACATAGCCTAAGAAATCATGGAGGGGTCTGAAATTGTCATTGTAGGTGCATGTCCACTGTAAGAGACATAATCTAAAAAATATCCAGAAATCACAATATATGATTTTTTAACTATTTATTTGTATGATACAGCTAAAAATAAGTATGTGAACACCTGTCTGTCATCTAGAATTCTGACCCCCAAAGACCTGTTAGTCTGCCTTTAAAATGTCCATCTCCACTCCATTTATTATCCTTAATTAGATGCACCTGTTTGAGGTCGTTAGCTGTATAAAGACACCTGTCCACCTTGTACAATCAGTAAGAATCCAACTACTAACATGGCCAAAACCAAAGATCTGTCCAAAGACACTAGAGACAAAATTGTACACCTCCACAAGGCTGGAAAGGGCTACGGGGAAATTGCCAAGCAGCTTGGTGAAAAAAGATCCGCTGTTGGAGCAATCATTAGAAAATGGAAGAAGCTAAACATGACTGTCAATCTCGCTCGGACTGGGGCTCCATGCAAGATCTCACCTCGTGGGCTCTCAAAGATCCTAAGAAAGGTGAGAAATCAGCCCAGAACTACAAGGGAGGAGCTGGTCAAACACCTGAAAAGAGCTGGGACCACCGTTTCCAAGCATACTGTTGGTAATACACTAAAACGTCATGGTTTGAAATCATGCATGGCACGGAAGGTTCCCCTGCTTAAACCAGCACATGTCAAGGCCCGTCTCAAGTTTGCCAATGACCGTTTGGATGATCTAGAGGAGTGATGGGAGAAAGTCATGTGGTCAGATGAGACCAAAATAGAACTTTTTGGTCATAATTCCAATAACTGTGTTTGGAGGAAGAAGAATGATGAGTACCATCCCAAGAACACCATCCCTACTGTGAAGCATGGGGGTGGTAGCATAATGCTTTGGGGGTGTCTGTCTGCACATGGGACAGGGCGACTGCACTGTATTTAGGAGAGGATGACCGGAGCCATGTAGTGCAAGATTTTGGAGAACAACCTCCTTCCCTCAGTTAGAGCATTGAAGATGGGTGGAGGCTGGGTCTTCCAACATGACAATGACCCCGAAGCACACAGCCGGGATAACCAAGGAGTGGCTCTGTAAGAAGCATATCAAGGTTCTGGCATGGCCTAGCCAGTCTCCAGACCTAAACCCAATAGAGAATCTTTGGAGGGAGCTCAAACTCCATGTTTCTCAGTGACATCCAGGAAACCTGACTGATCTAGAGAAGATCTGTGTGGAGGAGTGGGCCAAAATTCCTCCTGCAGTGTGTGCAAACCTGGTGAAAAACTACAGGAAACGTCTGACGTCTGTAATTGCAAACAAAGGCTACTGTACCAAATATTAACATTGATATTCTTAGGTGTTCAAATACTTATTTGCAGCTGTATCATACAAATAAATAGTTAAAAAAATCATACATTGTGATTTCTGAATATATTTTATTTATATTTTATTACCTACGATGACAATTTCAGAACTTGCAAAACAGCAGGGTGTTCAAATACTTATTTTCTTGACTATATATATACAGTATATATATAATGTAATGTAATAAAATGTAGACATACTGTATACACACACGTCTGATTCGCTATTTTTTTGTGTCCATAGACGTAATGTTTTTTATACTGTGTAAAAACTGTATATTCTATCCCCTTACACTAACTCTGTCATGGTTCACGGATTCATTGACTCGCCCTCGCCATGTGTGTGCGTGTTAGGTGAATGGGCGTGGCTTTCAGAGTCCCCATGACTCAGTGTTCAGGTTGAAGTCCCCATCGGGATAGAAAAACATCATGAACACACACACACACACACAGAAATGTATATCCACCTTGAAAATAGCTGCATCTTCCTCACTTCGGAAATCTTGTTTTCCTGCATGTTTCCATGGGATACGAAACATAGTTTTATCAGTGTTGTCCCACACCAGGCCGTGATACTTCCCACTGTTCACCTATATCCCAAAGCACACACAAGAGAGAAACAGTTATAATTATTAATCATAATTATTCATATTTATAACCGTATTATGAAAATATTTACATAATAAGGTATTTATATAAAAAAGACTTGAGTAACTAAAAGAACTAAAATACATTATAACTAATTTATTACTAAACTACTCAAATTCCTTTTTTTACCTTGATAATACTGTCATCCACCTTAAATATATAAGAGATGCAACCTACACATGTAGCTTTTCCACAAATTGAAATAAATACTAAACATAAGATGCACGTCATACAATACAAAACACTGTCGTGGTAACACAGATGACACTAAAATAAGTACAATAAACTTTAATTTAACAGCATAAAGAAACATTATTTCAATGAAAAACTATCAAAGATTTTATTAACTCTGACACACTCAACATACCACACACACACACCTGTTCTACTATCCAGGAGCGCAGACGGCGCGTGGAGCGAATCCTTCCGGATGCCATCTGAAAGTACAGAGGTGGGTAGTACCATGTTATTTGACCATGTTATACCATCGGGAGTTGTGAATACTCTTCCAATAAAATTAGTTTTAAATTGAAGATGAATCTTTCATCAACACTCAACATAAAGAAAATAATTACTTTTCAAAATTAGAAACAACAAATTTGTATTTTAATATAAATGCTATAGTAATGCCAAGTAATGATGAATCTAGTAATGTTAATTATAATAATAATAGCAATAAATATTAAATGTGATAATGTTTTTGATTGGTCAGACAAACTAATTAAACAACTTCTGATCAGGCTATACGAATGTGGATTACAGTTTTAATATTTACATATATAATGTATATGAGCATCTACTCAACAGTAGCCAACATAACTGATCAGTCTTTACCCTCTTCTAACCTGTTCTTGTATCTTACCTTATGAAAAATCTCAGACCCTCTTTTCTCTGGCTGAGCTTCTCATGACTCAGGACTTTTTTTCCCCCTTTTTTTACTGTTTAAGATTTATGAATGTAAGTGAGTCAAGTTTCTGAAATGGACGTGTTTTGAGCCCCAATGAAATGAGATAATGCAGTTTTAGATGTGTTTCTGAGTTTGATCTTCTGAGCTTTTAGTTGTTATTAACAGTGATCAATGGAGCTCTTATTACACTTGACTAAAACAATAAACATGAATTGTAATTACACACAGGTTGTTATTTAAATCTTATTTTGACTAACAATTTCCGCAATCACTTTCGTTCTTCGATAAAAATCGCTGTTTGGTTCCCTCCTTTGTTACGTTATCTAACTTAGTGCAGTACAGGCGGAGGTGCTAATGCTAACTTTATTAAGACGCAATCACAATACTTTTTGTAAACTTGAATAATGCTTAACGTTAATTAAAAATCAAATAGAGATACATTGTTTTTTTATATATATAATTTCAACAATTTCATATAGACTATCCACATCAAAAATCAATGTAGCTCGTTGTATAAATAAGTTCAGGCACAAAAACGGCATTTTTGTATAAACTTAAAATGATTATGTAGTTTGTAGTTTCGCTTAGCCTACCTTTAGTTTCGGTCGTCTTTATACTGTCAGCAGTTCTGGAGATCACCACAGTCTGCCTGTCCAGCCCATCGCAGATGATGGCACTAGAAATTCCTGAAAGCGAAAACAGTAGAGCGTCCTGACCTGTTTGATGAACTTTTGTAGGGGGCGCTCAGCGGCTCACAGCGTCGAATTATCACACTGTTCGTCATTGTACGGAATATTTTACATTATTCGTGAAATGTGTAAATATGTATGCCGAGGGCCTAGTAATCATATAAAAACATTGCTAACGTGGACTGTGAAATAATTTGGAAAAATTCCCTTTCCTCATTGTGACAAATGGCCTAGGTAACACATGATTTAACGTGTGCCACGCTCTTTTATTGTATATTTATTTATTTATTTATTTATTTATTGCTTTGTGTGGCTACATCACTTGGGAAATAATATTTTACTACAATATGATCAGGTGTTATGTGGCATCGGTGACGTGTATCTTTAATAAACCACGCCCACTTTGGCACTTTCTCTCGGCCATTTCCCTTCTGCCGATTTAATTCGTTTCAAAAGAAACGCTGCTCTTCCCAGAAACCACGTGATAATACGGATATCTCATTCAAGCCTTCAGAAGGCAAAAAATAAAAAAAAAAATAAATAAAATAATAAATAAAATTACATTGTAGAGATTTCATCATGCGTAGCAGAACAAATGAAGAGCAATCAAATTACAATGAATGTGAAATATCCACTGAAATAATTGTATATGTATTGATACATTATTATTATTTTTAAATAACACACACGTCGCGTTTGCATGTTTTATGGGGACTTTCCATAGACATAAATGTTACTGGGTGATTCTCTGAATTGGGTGCACTTCAAGTCCCCCAAACTTGCTTCAAAGATTTTCAATTGAAGGAAATTGCAAAATGCATTTTAATCCTGTCAGTTAGCTAAAATAACCAGGTGCCTTTGCATAATAATGCAACACAATTGCTTTTTTTTAATTAATTTTTTATTCAAAGATAATGGGTTGCCTAAGTAATAGACAACAAGCATTTTGGCATGTCCTCACTAACCATCATTACATTTTCATTGAATATCAAACAAATAAAAAGTGCAATTAATACCAAAATGTTGCTGCTATTATAATCATATGTTGGTCTACTTTAACTAAAATATGCATATGTATAAAAAATAATTAATTATATATGAAAATGCAATATTTATAGACCATTTCACAAGATGTAAACAATACTGATCCAGAAGCACTTCCTGTTTCAGTTTGTAACTGTTTTCTTTAATTCACATGTAAAGAAAACATCTTAAAGATGTTTGTTTAACTTTTTGATTCAGTTTTAAATGTTCTGTTGGTTGTATTTTATCCCAGCTTTTATGTAGTGTTAAAAAACTGAAACAGGAAGTGCTTCTGGACCAGTGTTGTTTACATCTTGTGAAATGGTCTATACACGTCCTCCAGTTTGTTTTCAACCCCATCACACCATAATATTTACCCCCCTATAAAAATAATGGATCAATCCCTGTGGCATGTCATCCAGGAAGTGACATCACACAAGTCTCTTGAAGAATATGCTGCAAAGGCAAGTATCAGTATCTTTTCCTACCATATTTCATGTTTTTCCGCTGTCAGAATAAGATGGTCAGGCTCACGTTTCGACTCTGTTGTATGACTTAATGATAGTAAACAACGGTTTAAGAAGAATTAAATAGTAGTTTTGGAAAACATTACAATTTTATGATGTTCTAAATGTCATGTGGTGCTACTGTCTTAGCTAAGTGAGCTATGGCCACTATTATCCAAAAACTTCAACCCTGTCAAATTATTTACAGGGTTGAATCGTTGTGACAGGGTTATGTTCAAGACTTCTTAGTAGATCACTCAATTGAAGACTTGTTGTTGTGATGTGAACTGTCAGAAATAATCGATTATGCTATTTTATTTTCAATAGCCTATTTTCAGACATCACAAAGGCAAAAACAGCAGCAGAGAGGCAAAGATAGTATCGAGCAAGAAGGGATGCAGACGCAGAAAGAAGGGAAAAATATCTCAGGAGTGAGCGTGAAAGGTGGAAAAGGAACACAGAGGCAGGGAAAAAGAAAAAAAAAGCAATCTGAGTGATAGAGCTAAACGATATAGGAAAGACAGGGAGAGATGCTTAAAAAAGACAGAAGAAGAGGGAAGCTTTGAAGAATGTTGACACCCCTCCACAAATTCCTGAGAATCAAAATGCAGAGCAACCTAGATCTGGGTCCTCAAGGTCAGTTGTAAGGAGTTAATTTAGATTAGATGAAGTTGACTGTAAGCTAGTGTGTGTTAGAGAGAGTAAGGGCCCTATTTTAACGCAGACTCCTATCGGTCCATTTGTTGGTGGTCATATTGATATTTACATAGCGCAGCTGATCATTAGTCAGTAAAATCATTCAAGTCGCGCTCCAACCGTGTTATAAAGTTGAGACAGGTCCGACAAATGCTAGCAGATTTGTTGGCTTTATTGTCGAGATCTTATCCTGAACGGAGAACTTGTTCGTACATTCACATTTTCTATTTCGTTCAAAATTGTTTTTTCGAGATACAAGTAATCCACAAATCCTTAAATTCTTTTTGCAACAACGGCAAAGGTCGTTAACACTGATTTTTCTTTTAAATACTTTTTCCAGAGTGCGTGCAGCTCCGTTCTGTCAAATTCCTATATAAATAGTAGCTGTTTCTGAAATCGCTATCCACTATATAGTGCACTAACATATCGGGTGTCGGCCATTTTGTAGTGGTGTCCGAATTCTGAGTGAACGACATAATTCCCTACATTCATTCACTACTTATACCCATAATCCTCTCTAAATTCGAGTGTACATTCACACATTTGTACTATTTCCCACAATCCAATGCGGTGAGAAGAGAACTAAGCGCATGAAAGTGTGGCGCGAGCAAATTTAAAGGTATAGCGGAGGATTTTCTTTTTCCGGGTGGGTAGTCTATACTATTGGTCCACCTAAGTGTCAATCATTCTGGTGATATGTGTACGTAAGGCCGTCGTAGGCTACGTGCTCATCCCTATGTAGTTTTCACTTTCAGGTGTATTATGTCGAAGTTATAACTCCGTATACGGTTTCAGCCATTCCTTTGAAAATGGCTGAGGGTCGAAAGAGAAAAAATGTTACGAAGTGTATGATAAGAAGAGAAAAGCCGCAGAATATAGAAACAAGACCAGAGTGATTTTGGGTGAATATCACACGCTGGCGTGCGCTAAAAGCACAGGTTGGGCTTCTCACTGATGCCGGAGTCGCGAAGATTCTACCAGACAGGTAGGCTAAAGTTTGTCATGCTATTTGGAGAAATCCATTTAAAATCACTAGTAAAACTTAATGCAAGCTACAATGCTAGCCCTGGCACGAGTCATGCACCGCATAGACACGGTAAACATCTCAATTTGTCTAAAGTAGCCTTTTGACCAAAATGGTAAATGGTATCATGCTGAAATATTCTAAAATCTTGTGTGTTCATATTCTAAAACCTTGTGTGTTTATTATTACACAAATGCAACAAGCTACTTCTCCATATGCAACTATGTATAAAAATAACATATTAACAATGAGAGATATTAGGTTAAGGACCAACATAATAGCACTGCTTATATATTGCTATGTAACGTAATTGCGATTTGCAAAATAGTTTCCTCAGAACTTATTTCGTGTGATACAGGGTTGCACATCATGTCTTGAGTCCTCGGTCACTCAATCGATCAGTATAATAAGTAAATAAAACACGGAAGGGCATTTGACATGTTGTCTTTTTTATGAATATTTTTGAGTTAGTTTAGAATTTGCAACATAATTGTGCAAGGCGTAATAGACGTTCCCTCTCGGGAGCAAGAGTGTTGTGTTTGTGCAATTTTTTTTTTTTTTTAAATTGGAGAGGGCGGGTCTTCTCTAAAATTCGGAAAGATCCTCCGCTATACCTTTAAACCAGAGATTACATTACAGCTTTCTTATTCCTTCTTTAACATTTATTTCATGCTAATTTTTATTTTTCTATTAATCATTACTTGAATAGAACATATTAAAACATTGAGACAATATCATATAGATGAATTTTAAAATTAAATGAAATTATATTTATATATCGTTTTTTTTTTTTTTGTTTTTTTTTACTAAAATACATTATTTAGGCATTCCCTTACGAAAAATAACTGCAGTACAATGAAGTACAACTGCAGTAAAACTGCAGTTCAAAGCAGTGTAGACCATTTAGCACTTCCTGTTTCGTTTTTTTAACACTACATAAAAGCTGGGATAAAATACAACCAACAGAACATATAAAACTGAATCAAAAAGTGAAACAAACATCTTTAAGACGTTTTCTTTACATGTGAAATAAAGAAAACAGTTCAGTGAAACAATTCACTGCTGTGTGGTTTTGCCTGCATTACATAAATATGTCTGATTTTATTTTAGCCCAAATAGACTGTGTTGTGCTCACTGTGTGAAGAGTTTTGAAAAAAGTGACCTAAATGTTGACAAATGTGTCCAAGCAATTAAAAAAAAAATCTGTTATGTTTGTGAAGATATAATGACCTTATCAGACGAAAAGTCAGTTTGTAATGTCAGTAAATTGAAAGTTTCTTTCTACCATGCTACAGTCTCTATTTACAGTATCACATGGCATAGTGTTGTAAAGTGTCTGACTGTATTTGTTGCAACAGTTACCTGCCATCTCTTTTCAATTCTCATTTGACATATACATAAACTTTATATTTATAAATATTTTTAACTTAATATTAGCACCTATCATGGATTTTTGAAAATGACTGTTCATGTAGTGTGGAATATAGCTCTAAGGGAATGAAAACATCCTGGAAAGATTTATATCTGAAAGTGCACCGTATATAAAGTTATTTGCTGTGTCTGAAATATCCACTCAAACCACTACTTCCTACCCCCTACATAGTAGAGCACTATATAGTGAGCTCACCAGCATAATAGAAACACCACTTTCGGACACTACTCGTCTCTCGGCGCCGTTGAATACGTCATCTGTCAGCAGGTGCTGAGCCGGCTCTGGGCTAAATAGATTTTTTTAAATAAATACATTACATTATATTGA